AAATAAGTACCGATCTAAACAATTGGACTTATTTATAGCCAGAAAGTTTATCCTCACCAAACTCATTAGCAAAGTGAGTTAAAAAAAAAAAGAAAACATTGGTAAGCTGGGGTTGTGGCTAAGTGGTAGAATGCTTGCCTAGTAGGTGTGAGGCACTGGGTTCAATCCTCAGCACCACATTAAATAAATAAATCTTATTAAAAAACCCACTGTGAATGTGGTAGAAATAGGTGATATTTGCCAAGTCTCCACTTTTTTTTCTATACCAGCACTCCTTTTCTACAATTGGATAATCTAAAACATAATGTGAAATCTACATATATAACTTAATACCTTATTTCATTTATTGAACAAAACACCTAATTATTTAGATGTTATTATGTCTATCTTACAAATGAGAAAAGTGCAGTTCAGAAAGTTTAAGGAAATCCCCATCTGTAGAAGGGTTTCCTAGGCTGATATGTGTAACCCAGAATCTATGTTATTAATCATCAATTCATTCATTCATTCTTCTAAGATACAGGTTATTTTGTTTCTTCAAAAAGCTTAACTATTTTTATTTTTTAGCATGATATTGTGATTGATTTAACTTAATTTCATTGTGAGAATGAAATTAAGGCCAGTTGGGTAATACATACAACCACTAAGACTGTTAACAGGGCAAAGACTGGTAGTATAAACTCTGTGTTCCCATGACACTGTTTAGTTATTTTTTTCCATGGTAAAAACAACAATGTGGTGGGTGGTCCAACTATTCCTTTTTCCAGGAATCTGCCTCAGTTAGACATTACATTTTATGTTTAGTGGCCTAAGCTCAATCATGATGTGCAGTGTAGTTATGGGACGTGACACATGATATCAATGAGCAGAAGCCACAGCAAGCAAAATCCAAGGAGACAAAGTAAAACACACACACATACACACACACACAAACATACACACACACTCCCCTATTGCCAGAGGAAGATACATGAGAAATATACATGCAACCATGAGGTTGAAGCTATTCTGGGTTGGAGAAAGAGGTAGCTGAACAACTTAGCTGAGGTCCTTAGTAACAGTTCAAATGAAGACCTGAATAACCCTCCTGGATCCTCCTCCTAATGGCTCAAGAAATACTAAGGAGTTTCTATATTTTGACTATCTAAATATTTTGCCAGAGCTGCATTCTTTTTAGCCACAAAGAGATGATGTGTAACCTTGGTGTGAAGACTGAGTAAGCATTATTGCTCTGCTGATAAGCACATTATTTCTTTAGACAGTGGTTGTTTCCTTTTGGAGTCTCTTCTTTAGAACTTGGCAGGTCTCTCTGCTTTTCCTATGCTAGCTCAGACCATGCTATGCTATATGTGGGTTTGACAACACATGTTGAATTTTACCTCATGATTTGGATAGTAGAGTAAGCCTGGATTTGCTGCATATCAGTATGATTTATAGAACACAGAGCAGATGAACTCAGGAAACCCCCAAGGTGTGTAAATAATAGTAAATAGAGGGATTTACAAAATATGTTCCAAAGTTCTGCTGTAGTAACCTACCTATTGGTATTCTTTAAATTAAAAACAAACTGTTGAAATGTTAGCAGCAACATAAGTTCCTTTTTTTTTTAAAAAAAAAAGAAATGGACAAAGTTCAAATATGAAAAACAGATTCTCTGGTTCTCTGAGTGCAGAGAACTCCATGGTCTTTAAACTTAGCTTTTAAAAAGGGTGAAAATGCAGTGTTACTCCTTTGTACAACTAACATATTCCATGATAAGGATAATGGTAATAATAATGCACAGCATTTCATATTTTTTCATAGAAATTCTCATTTGATCCTCTCTAAAGCACTGTTAAGTCTAGTGATAGAAAAGGACACAAAGCCATAGATGTGAGCTACCCAGGAGTACACCAGAGAGCAGTCAGGCTCTCTCATCTGTCTCACACTCTTATGAGTGTGTTGTTATTGAAACACACATCTCTCTCTCTCTCTCTCTCTCTCTCTCTCTCTCTCTCTCTCTCAGCTAGAAAATCTTGAAAATGAGACAAGATAAAAGGAATATTGGCCTCCATCCTAGATTCTAATGTCACATATCATGCTCTTCCTTTAGAACAGATGTAATGTGCCAGAAAAATGGGAAATTTAGCCTGCAGAGAATAATTTGAATATTTTTTGGATGACATTTCCCACTAAAGAAAAGAAGACCTATAGCTAGCTAACTTTATAAAACAACAACAAACTACCCACCTTGCTATCTATAGATCATCATCTATCAGCACAGAACTACCTTCACATTTCAGATATATTGCTTAAAGTCAACACTTGGCTTTGATACTCAAAACTGACACCAAACCCCATCAGACGAAATCTGAATAAGGAAAATGAAGACTTTTCTGGTATAAGGATTTAACAGAGTTCTGAGTTCTTGTATAAAGCAAAAGTTTCTCATTCATAACAAATAGTAGACATCAGCTGGGAGGTTGACTGCTTTTCTGCTATTTCCTACAATAAAGTTTCTATCTATCTCTTCTTTCCCTCTTTATCTACCTGTGTCTCTCTAGCTATCAGTTGTACATGCTTTTGTAGATATTTTCAGGAACAGCTTTTTATCTGGAGAATATGGCTGCCTGAAAGAGTTATAGAATATAACAAAAGCTTTACCCCGAAGCTTCGATGCATTACAAAAGCTTGCACTTGGATAAGAGAAATATTGAGCCTCAGGTGACTGAGAACACTTACTGTTGGTTGCATAACGTATGGCGGATGAGGCATCCATGAAGTACTCTGGACCTATATCAAACAGCATTTATTAGCACAAAGCAATCACAGAGAGAACTGGTTCTTGTGTTCAGTGGAGTCACACTAGGTCATAAGGAAGTGGATTCCATCTGACTTTACAGCTAATTAATGCTCAAAACTAAGGATCAAAAGGGAATTCTTAGACCTGAGTAATTTGGTCCCTGAGACAATGAAATAAAGCAACTTCCCATTTCACTGGCTGGCTTCACTTTTAGTGTCCACATGGACGAGACTGGATCTTGAAGCATATTTGAGGTTGGTATTGAAGATTCAAGACTTAGAAGGCCTCAGAGACTATTTGCAGGTCAGTTCCCAGGTATACCCTGGCAAATAATGAAGGAAGCAAGAGTTAACTGCTAGACCTCCTCTTTTTCTCTCTTTGGTTGTGACTTTAAATCCTCAGGTGATCCCAATCTTAGAAAAATGTCCAAGCAGCAAAAGTGGTATTTAAAAAAATGAAGAAATAAACCAGAAAATTGTGAGGAGTGCTTTGGGCTAAACCCAAGTTAAACAAGTTTGGAAATTCTTTTTTTTTTCTCTCTCTCTCATGGCAATTGGTATAGAGAATAGAAATGTGCATTTGAGCCAGCCAGCTCTTCTTAAAGGTATCATGTATCAGTCAAATGAGAAAGTCAGACTGTACAAGCTGACTGTCACATAGGAAACCATGAAGATTTTGTTTTCCAATACACTCACACCAACAAAATTGCCAATTCACTTTACATTATGAAAACATAAAAGTGGTGAAAAGCCAAGAGTCAACAACATGGGAAATTGCTGTAATCTCTTTTTTCTGAAAGAAAAGAACTAGAGTTAAATTACACATATGAGCCCTCCCAAGTGAAGTGTCTTTTCTGTGCATTTTTTATTCATATCTCCAAAGTGCTCTACACTGTGGCTTAGTGGGTGGTCTTGGCTGAAGCAGAGACCAAGATTAGAAAAAAGAAAGCGCGCGCACACGCGCATGCACACACACACACACACACGCACACACAAACACACGCGCACGAACACACACGCTGGCCTGCAGGAAGAATAAAAACTGGATAGCACCTGCATATGGCCTCATGGGTCCCAAGGAAAGACAATTAAGAAATCAGCCTTTCTAGGACCCCCTAATGCAATTCAAACAAAAGTCCATTCCATTCGCCCATGGGTATATTTCAAGAGTGTAGAAAAAGAGTGAAAATGATCTGCTTCAGGGGGAATCAGTGAAAGAAAAATGCACATAGTCTTAAGTTTGATGCTCTGATAGCTGGGACATCCTGAAATGAAGTATGCAGTGGCTCAATAAGGTGAAACTTCACTGAATTAGTAGCAGTCAGCACCATGATAGTTTTACCCACTGTAAAACGTCCAACCCCACCATTTGCAAAACACAGAGAAGCACGTGCTGGTTCTGTCTTTCACAACTTTTTTTTAAAAAGAAATACTTCCTAGATATAGCATTTATAGGCATTTTCTAATCAGAATTAGAAGAGTTGTTTGAAGAATAACTAGGTAAAGAGAAGAAGGGAGTAATATCACATCTCTCAAAGGAATAATGAATTTTTTTTTTCAGGGAAAAGTGTGACTATTTCAATCCACCTGTGCACTTGGAATGACTGGTCTCAACATTTGGTTTAAGACACATTGGGTCTCAGATTTTCTTGTGTTCCAACATGTGGAATCACGGAGATCCCTTTTGATCTCTCTGGAACTGAGAATGAAATATAAACAGGGAGCAGGAATCACTTTTACCACTTTGATAATTTTGCTTATTTGGTGGGGGAAGTATGATTTAACCTCTATCTGTGTAGCTGTGACAAAATGAGATGACAATGGTGAAATATTCTAGAATAAGTGAAGGGATTGCTAGAAATGTGCTTTTCGGAAAGACACAATAGGGAACATGAACAACCAAAATAACAGACAACAAATAAAATAATTCCCCAGTGGTAAGAGAGCTGTACTAACAGTGGCTGGCAAGTTGCATAATCATAAAAACTCAGCAGGAAGAATGAAAAGCATGTTGGATTTTATTATTCAGTGAATTGATGCAAACAGGCCCTAGAAAGTATAGACTAATTCATAACTTGAGCATTATCACACTAAGAGGAGACTATAGTATATGAGGACATTTTTTTTTTCGATTAATTCTAAATGTGCCCTTTTTGCCTCTACATAGTGAATTACTGGTAAGGAAGATCTCTCCTGAGGTGCAGGTGAATCAGACATACCTGGTATGTGGAGACAGGGGAAGCAGCAATGAATGGCGTGATAGATGTCTGTGGAATCATGCGGTTGGTTGCAATACTGTACGGTGAAGAATAAAATCTGCAAACAGAAAAAAAAAAAAAAGGAAGAAGAAGAAGAAGATTTCATGAAGCTTCTGAACGCCTGGCTACTGATCAATGCTACTGAGCACGTTTTAGAAAGACAAGGGTTCCACCCTCATGATTTTCCACCAACTCTTAATAGGAGCATCCAGGGGATTAACAGTATTGGATTCCACTAAGAGAAGTCAATCATTGAACAAAATGACTACTTCAAGTCATTATATAAAATTAGCTGCAAAAAAATCTCTCTAATGCCAGGTGAATATAACAGTAATTTAATCAACAAGATCAGAAAATCCATGGTCATCATTCTTTTCAAAAAAGGTCAAGCCATTCTAAAGCTCTGTGGGCGAAAGGCAAATGAAAACACCAAGTTTTGTGAAGATGGCTAATATACCAACAGGAACTGTATCTGTCTCTTTATTCAAGAAATAAGGATCAGTTCTTAGGAAGTTCTGGATAGTTTTGTGCTAGACATTGTGCCCTCATGCAGAGAATTCTTTCTCCACGAAAAGAGAAGAAAGAGGAAAATTAGTGTATAAAAATAGGAATATTTTCTGGATTCAGTGAAGATGGAGAAACTGGATCTATATGACAGACTCTTGGAGACTCTGGGGTCCTTCATAGAACAATTATAAAGTGATACTGAGCAAAATCAGGATTTCACATGCCACAAGTGGGATGATTCTTCTGGAGATCTAGTAATGAGTGGATCCTAGAAATAGAAATAAGTTGTATGCCCTTCTTTCTTCAGGATGTACCTTTGAATTCATGAGTTGCTTGATGCTCAAATTCATCAGCAGAAATTTAAGTCATTTTTTTCTCCTTCCTATAAGTGAAAGGCTAGAGTGGCAAGCCACAGAACAAATAAAACCAGGTTTCCTGGGATGGAGTATTTTGCTGATGTAAGGACTGAGAGAGAAAAATGAATATCAGGGATAAAGGAATCATTACTTGAGTTTTACCATATGCCTATCAAAAATCAATTACTATGTTCATTTTTTTAAATTATTGAGACAAAGTCCTAATAAGCCTTAGTAGTCACTGATGTTTTATTCATAGAGAATTTCCTAGGTTATTTGAAAAGGAAGCATTTCCTGAGACTGCTATTGAATGTAGACAAACGAAAAGTAAAGGTTGCCAGGATTTAAGGAGTAAATTCTTCAAGTAAGGATTAGGGGTTGATAGTCTTAACTTTATTTTATCTAGTTTTTAACAAGAATTTTATGAGGCCACACACTTTTAATATCTAAAAAAAAAGTATACCTGAAAAATAATTAGTCCATTCTACATTATATCATTTCTATCCAATGGACCCCTAAATTTATAGTTGTACATTTTTAAAAAAAATATATATATATGGCTACATGTCTATTAGGATGGCAAAACAAAGCAAAACAAAACAAAGCTGGGTGCTGACAAGGATTCAAAAAAAGTAGAATTCTCATTCATTGCTCCTGGAAACGCACAATAGTGCAGCCATTTTAGAAAACAGTTTGACTGTTTCTTAAAGTTAACAGTACACACATCATAAGACTCAGGAATGTCACTCTTCTCAATAAAAAAATTCATGAAAATTTTTTCTTTAAACAAAGAGACTAATGTGAATGTTTATAGAAGCTATGTTTATATTTGCCTGGAATTAGAAAGACCTTAAATGTCATTGAACTGATTGATAAACTATGGTGTATTCAGGCAATGAAATACTATTAGGGGATTAAAAAACAATAGGGTCACCCCTTGGTCTCATGTGTGATTGGTTCCAGGACCCACCACAAATACCAAAATGCAAGGATGCTGAAGTCCCATGTATAAAATGGGGTAATGTTTTCATTGATTCTGAGTACATTTCCTATATTCTTTGTGTCCCCTCTTAATTACTTATTATACCCAGTACAATGTAAATACTATACAATTAGTTGCTATTCTGTATTATTCAGGAAATAATGTCAAGAAAAAAGTTTGTGTATTTTTAATACAGACATATTTTTTCCCCAAATATTTTCTCTCTTAGTTGAATTAGTGGGTGTGGAATCCACAGACAGTGAGGGTCGAATGTAACTACTGGTACATTCAAAATGATGACTCTAAAGCAAATTATGCTAACTAAAAGAAGTCAGACTCAAAGATTATATACCATATAATTCCATTTATATTACACATGAAAAGTCCAAACTATAGAGACAGAAATAGATGAATGGGGGTGGGAGAAGGGGTCTATTTGTTGTTGTTGTTTTGTTTTTTGTACTGAGGATTGAACTCAGGGGCACTCAACCACTTAGCCACATCCCCAGCCTTATTTTGTATTTTATTTACAGACAGGGTCTCACTGAGTTGCTTAGTGCCTTGCCATTGCTGAGACTGGCTTTGAACTCGCGATCCTCATACCTCAGCCTCCTGAGCTGCTGGTATAACAGGCATGTGCCACAGCACCCGGCTAGAAGGGTCTAATTCTAAAGCCATAGGAGGTGATTTGAGAATGGGCTACAGCTGTACAATACCTTGATGGTTGTTGAGGTTACACAGTTGTGTAGGTTTGTCAAAATTATAGAATGATACACTGAAAAGAGTGAACATACTAAGTTATATGCAGTTGTCTCTTTTAAAAAGACAATTATTATTTAAGAAAGCATCCATCTCTCCAATTTAAAAATATATTAAGCATTTTCTATGTGTATCAAAGATGGATAAGACTCTGAAACATCCCTAAGAGTTTCTCTAAGAGTCACTCAAACTACACTTTGTTTCCACTCCCATCAGCCTAACAGCTCTCCAAAGGATTTTCATTGCAATAAAAATAAAATTTAAACTCCTTGTCCTGGCCAGTTCAATCAGGGTACCTATTGCTTACCTCTCAGATATTTTCCTACCTCATTCCTACTTGGTCAACTATGATTCAACCCCACTGACTCCTTCTCTCCCTTGATCTCCCCCAAGGCTACTCAACTTATTATTCTTCCGCTCTAGAATGCTCACTTCCCCAAACTCCCTAACACTGCCTCTTTTTCATCTTTGGGCTCACTTGACTGTTTCTTCTTTAGAGAGGCCTGTAGGTGATGGGGCAATGGCTGCTTGTTCTCCAGCTCCTTTTTATTATGTATTTAATGTCTTCTTTGTTCTTATCTATGTGAAGTCATAATTTTTAAAAATTTATTTACATATGTTATGGATTGAATGTTTGAGCCTCATCCTCACTCAAATTCTTAATGTGGAAGTCCTAACTGCTAGTGTAGTTGTATTTGAGGAAGATCTGGAAGCAGCTATTTAGAATTAAATGAGGTCATAAGGTTGGGACCTAGATTGGATAATATTAATGTTTTTAATAAAAAGAGACAGTAAAGAGCTTACTGTTTACATGCCTTGGGAAAAAGCCATTTGAGGATACAGTCCACACATTGGGAAGAGAGCTCTCACCAAAACCTAACCACCAGGGAGCTTGATCTTGAACTTGTAGCATTCAGAATTTGTGAGAAGGCAAATTTCTGTTGTTTAAACCACCCACTCAATACTCTTTCTCAATGCATCCCAGACTGTGAAATGCAATGTGTTTATCAATGATTTCTCTCTTTAGAATGTTAGCTCAAATAGCAGATGCTTTATAACTATTGAATACTGAATGAATGAATACATGCAGAGCAGCTTGGGGAATTAAATGGTGATTACGGTACAGGATGGCCAATGCCCAGAAGACAGGAATAGAAAAAATGGGTCCCTGAAACCAGGTAGGAAGCTAAGAGATAAAAGCCCAGAGAACACAGTCCAGCATTGCATACTCTGTTTTCTATGCATACAAAGACAATAGTAACTAGACAAAAGTCCTTTTCTATGAAAAACATGGTTTGCATTTAATAACCCCCTTTAAGTCTTACTTTTGACAGGTCTTATCTATGAGACAGTTAAACAGAACGACTGGTCCCAGGGATCATGAAGACATGACAGGCTCCCAAGACCACTCAAACAACAGTCATTCTCTTATACCATGTAGTAGTTTAACTTCCGGTAGAAATTCAGGTTTAACCTCTTATACCGACAGAGAAAATCATGCATCACATTTTAGCATGGCTGGTCTATTTTATAAAATGTACCAATTGGAGTATTAAAAATGAAAGCAATAAAAATTGGATTGACAGGAAGAGTTTACAGGAAATTCCATGGGGAAAACTGAGAACAGAAACATAAAGAAACCAGCCAAGTAAACTGATACTAACAAAAGGAACCCTTGGGGGAAAATTTAATGCATTTTTGTTCTATCTGTGCTAATCCTACCCATCAAATGAGAAGGATATTTCATACTTCCTAGCAAGTTCCAATACTGCCACTCAAGTCAGCGTCATTTAGAAGGGAAAATGTACTAGGAAGAATGGACTGAGCACAGCATACTATCTTGATCCTCTAATTCTGGTATCTGAAAATAAGCTCTTCTCAAGCCCAAACACAAACCAGATGAATTTACAGAAAGCCCTTGCTTAAGCCAGGACAGGAGGGACTACTAGTGTGTCTGAGGCTTAAAGGTGCTATATCTAAAGAAAATACACAGACTCAAAGGGAGAACTGTAGAATGTGCTTTCCAATCTCTTAGCTTTTTCCTATTCCCTGTCATGTGTCCATATCACCGTCTGAAAATACTTTCTATAAGAGGCATCACCTCAAAAAAATTAGAACATCCCAATAAACCTTCAGGCAGAAGTGACATGTTATTGGGGAACAGGAAAGAGAAAATTGACAAAACGTTTTAGCCATAATAATAGATTAAAGGTAGTTCCAAACATGTGCCCTTATGCTTTTATATTTGTTAACCCATGCATTATACCTTGCAAAATCCTGTTACAGAAAACTGAGAATGCACTGCTCAACACATTTTCCTGAAATCAGTGTACTCTCTTAAGAGAGATTTCTTTGACAAGATTCACATAATACAATGAATGTAACAAGGACCCCTTTTATATTTAGCCTTGTACTTCTAAGCCAGAGGGGATTTTTCCCTCCAAGGGACATTTG